GTTGGTTTTCACAACTAGTGGTTCTTTGGAATTTCAGGACCAGATTTGATAAATGTGCCTGTTTGGCCTTGTTAACTTGGGAATCATGCTGAGATGATTAAATATGAATGGTAGACAATTTTATAAGATTTCCATATTGTCTTGTTTCATGCCTTTTGGGTTAGTACAACTCTAGTTATGAGTTAAACTAGCAGCTGTTGTTTGTAGCCCTAAATCTGTGAATGCAGTGAATAACTTGATTGCTTTATATGAGTTGATTTAGATGCTTAGGTTGATTAAGATAAATTGTTAGTTGCAGGTGCTAGACCTTTTACTGAAGATGAACAACTTTATCTTAGGTTGTTAGCGCTTGGTGAGTGTGTAGTTCTTGTTTTCAAGAAGATATATGCATCTACTCAGTAAAATAAATGTTAATCTTGAATCATCATGTCATTCATGTGTCCGTCTTTACATGGCTGTACATTTTATCATCACCTTCCATCTCTTTTGCATGCATGACTCTTATGCGGTGCATATGCATGCAATAGGTGTTCCGGAGGGAGTCACGCTTCTGGAATTTGAACAAAGACTTCCAAAGGAGCAGCAGCAAGTGCAGGAGCAGAAGATGCAGGCCCCAGAAGGAGCCAACGAAGAAGAAGTTCTTGAGTGTCCCAATCACCAACCTTCCTCTTTTCTGAAAGGCAAGCCCCGGAACATTCTAAGTTTCCTATGTTTTGAAAATGTTACTTTGAGTATCTTTATATGTTTGATGCATTAAGTGATAGGAGTTGGATGCAAATACTTGTTGCATATCTATCTATTCCTTGTCTAGTAAACGTACCCTAAATCATATTTAGGTCCAGGAGCGAATCAATGCTTAGCTATGTTTAGACCGGTAAAGTCAGGTGATTTCCTGTCACCTGCCAGATAGGATGATATCTAGTCACGGTTCGCTATATTTGCTATCATGAAAATAACCATGTGTTAATAATGAATGGAGACCGGGCGGGATGTCGATAGAGAAGCAACAAGGCAAGGAGGTCTTGGGTGTGGATCTATCCCCGTCTGTGTCGGTTAAGGACCAATTCGCTGTACATCCTCATGTCATGTTGAACGCATGCCTATCACTTAGTTGGCCGAATAACTTGTTCCGACCGCGAAGCCGAGTAGCTCAACTCAGGCCGAAAGCCAGGAAGTGAAAGTGCACATTCTAATGGTAGTAAGGATGTGCGGGGAGCCATTAGCGTAAGTCCAAAGGGCAGATTGACGTCCTGGCAGAGTGGATTCCCCGAGAGTGCAGCGCTACTCGGACCCACGAATTTGTTCCTGAGCTATACCAAAGGTGACCCGAGGCGACCACTGATCAGGTTGCTTGGGTGTGTGTTAGGAATAATTCCCCAGTTGGGTAGGAATCGATTCGAGTTGCCGTCTCTCCCGGATAGTGAGAACTTGACTGAGCAGCGATAATGTAGAGACACTTAATTGAACTTGATGGTTATAATGATGATGATGATGATGTTACAACATTATACTGGATATGATTACTAATGTTTGGATTCTAATCAAGTGTTTGCTTTAGTACAGGTGCTAATCTAGATGATAGGTTATTATTGGTAACTTGATGCTTAACTAATAATTTAAATTATGCTCTTGTATCATTGAAGCTTTTATGTAAAATGGTTGTTAAGCGAGATCCACCGATAAAGCCTTGCATACTTCTTGGTGTCATTTATTTTTGGTTTATGATGGGTAAGTCTAGCTGAGTACATTCTCGTACTTAGGGTTTATTCCCTCTTGTTGGAGATGACGTGCTTTATAACGGTTACTGCAAGTATTGTCTCCACCTCTCTGGTGATGAAGACTAGATCATGGGCATGATCTCCTATGTTATCTTATCATGATGCTTTTGCTGGATATGACTATGAAACTGGCTTGTATTTGAACTAAGTGTGTGTGATGGTTTCCAACTACTTTGCTTTCGCTATTTGTGAACTCGTGTTGTAATAACTATGTGAACTCTGATGTATGAGATACTTGTGAACTACTTGTGAAATGTATGTAACATGTGTCTTGTTATGTTCAATCGAGTACGATCTTGGTTGTATGCAAATTAGTTTGAAATCCTTCGTTGTTTCAGTTGACTACCGGGTTTATATGGGTTCAATTATGACAGTTTGATCACTCCAGTGATTGCTTTTGTACTTGTGCTCTTATAAATTGGTCGGTTCTATTACAGGCAAGGATGAAGACGGCTTCCCCGACTCTGAGGAATGCCTCATGATTTTTGGAGGATCCGACGCCATCCACTCCGTGCGCTAGCACAAGGTATGCTACAGAGAGGCATGTGCCGCCGAGTCGGCAATCCCCTCTTTCCTTAGCTGGTCGGACTCCCCAATCACTTTTGATCAGAGAAACCATCCTTCCCACGTCGCCCGATCGGGTTGCTACCCGCTCATCGTCGACCCCATCGTCCGCAAGAAGCGCCTCACCAAGGTGCTGATGGATGGAGGCAGTGGCCTCAACATTCTCTACGTCGACACCCTCGATGCCATAAGCATCCCCCGGTCGGAGCTTCGCCCGGTGAGCTCTCCCTTCCACGGCGTTATCCTAGGGACGCAGGCATACCCACTCGGGCAGATCGACCTGCCCATCACGTTTGGTGACCGCGTCAACTTTCGTTCGGAGGTCCTAACCTACGAGATAGTGGACTTTCTAGGGTCCTACCACGCCATCTTGGGGCAGCCATGCTACGCCAAGTTTATGGCGATCACCAACTACACCTACCTCAAACTGAAGATGTCGAGGCCGAACGGCGTCATCACTGTAGGTAGCACCTTCTCGCATGCCTACACATGTGACCGCGAGCATTACAAGCTCGCCACTAGCTGTCATCAACTCCACCGAGTTCTTGGAGCTTGGGAATTTGGCGACTCAAGCAGTCCCTGACCGCAATGGGCAGACCTCCTCAAGCACCTTCCATCCGATCGAGGAAACCAAGGCGGTGGAGATTGACCCTAGCAACCCAACCAAGATGGTGCGGATCGGGACCAAGCTCTCGGCCAAATAGAAAAGCGAGCTAGCCGACTTTCTACGTGTAAATCACGATGTCTTCACGTGGAAGCCTTCTAACATGCCGAACATACCAAGAGAGATCACCGAGCACACACTACGTGTTGTCCCGGGCTCAAAGCCCGCCAAGCAACACCTACATCACTTTAACGACGAGAGGCACAGGGCCATAGGTGAGAAGATCGCCAAACTTCTAGCAGCTGGATTCGTCAAAGAGGTATACCACTCCGACTGGCTAGCTAAACCTGTTCTTGTGAAAAAAAAGAATGAGAAATGGAGAATATGTGTTGACTATACTAGCCTCAACAAGGCGTGCCCAAAGGACCACTTCCCTCTACCACGCATAGATCAGATAGTCGACTCCACCTCAGGGTGCGAAATCCTCTCCTTCCTGGATGCCTACTCAGGCTACCACAAGATCGCGATGAAAGAGTCCAACCAGGTCGCGACTTCATTCATCACCCCATATGGTTCGTACTATTACGTAACCATGCCTTTCGATCTGAAGAACGCTGGCGCCATCTACCAATGGTGCATGCAGCGATGCTTCACCGACCAAATCAACCCGCCTGACCAACCTGACCAAGTCGAGCGACCAAAACTGATAATCGCCATCTATGTAGATGACATAGTGGTGAAAATGGCTCAAGCTACGACCTGATCGTAAACTTGGCTACCACATTCGCGAACCTTCAAAGGTTCTACGTCAAATTGAAACCCGAAAAATGTGTTTTCAGGGTTCCGAAGGAGAAGCTGCTCGGATACATCGTGTCCAAGCGCGGCATCGAAGCCAACCCTAAAAAATCATGGCCATCTCTAACATGGGCCCTATACGCAACGTCAAGGGCATATAGAGGCTCACCGGCTGTTTGGCCGCCCTGAGCCAGTTCATCTCCCGACTAGGCGAACGGGGATGCCTCTCTACAAACTTCTCAAAAAGATAGACGACACTTTCATCTGGACAAAGGAGGCACAACAGGCTTTGGAAAGCCTCAAAGCATCACTGACGTCGGTCTCAATCCTCGTCGCTCTCGGACGGGGAGAATCCCTCTACATCGTGGCAAGCAACCACGTTGTGAGCGCAGCCCTTGTCGTCGAGAGGGAGGAGCCGAACACCGCCTGAAGGTCCAACGACCGGTGTACTTCGTCGGTGAGGTACTCACCGACGCCAAAATTCGCTACCCCTAGGTTCAGAAGCTTCTGTACGCCGTGCTGATGGCGACCCAGAAGCTCCTGCACTACTTCACCGACCACGAGGTCATGGTCGTCACCTCATACCCACTTGGGTAGGTCGTCCGTATCCGCGACGCCGTCGGCCGGATCTCCATGTGGGCTCTCGAGCTTATGGGCCATGACATCAGGTATGTCCCCCGCACCGCTATTAAGTCTCAAGCTCTTGCCGACTTCATCGCCGAATGGACGAACGTCTCCCACGAGTATTGAACGTTGTACTTCGATGGGTCGGTCTGGTGCCCGGCTCGAGGGCTGAAGTGGTTCTGATCTACCCGGATGGGAGCAGGCTCCGCTACGCGATCCGTCTCCATTTTTTGGCCATGAACAATGCCGCAGAGTATGAGGCCCTCATCAATGGACTGCGCATCACCGTCGAGCTCTGGAAGAACTATTTCTTGATCTAGGCAAAAAGTTATCTACAAGATTTTTTTATTTTGTTCTGAGAAATATGAAATTGACTTAACTCTGAATTTCATTTTATCACTTCACAATGCTTAGAGTTTTGTCAAGAAATCATTTTTCCTACTGACTCCACAAGATATTTTTCATTCTAGCTTTTTGACACAAATGGAGAGAAACTAAGCTTATGGAGTGACCTGCAATAGTGCAAGATTTCCTAAGCTTTTTAGACAAGTTAGTTTAGAAGGCATTTTTTTGTGTTGTCACTTTTTATTAAAGGTAATGTGATCCTCTTTCTTGCATTTTGTATTTTGACACACGAAAGCATATAAAGGGCCAGAATAATTACCTATTAGATCAAACATTTCAGCAATGAATATATCCACATATTGTTCAAACGTGCGCCGTGTTGTATCCCATTCAAGTCCGCTGCCAATATCAAACCCTTCAAAACTCTCACTGTCGCTCCTATCCCACTTTGTAAGAACAGCAAACACCCTCAATGTTTCATCAGTAAGGCCCAAAACCTTAGCTTGCAGTTTCCCATGATTTTGAGGGCATGGGATATCAAGTTCTGTTGAATACCGAAGTGGCTCAAGTGCAAAGGATGCCGCCTGGTAAGGCAAAAGTGCCAGCTGACCACTTTCCTTGTGTCCTACCATCAGTTTCCTCTTCTTCCCTCTCTTGCTCCTCTTGCGCGTAGTCGGTTCACTGTTTAAACCATGAATCTTGGCAAGGGACTTCAAGTTGCCCATCAGGTCGGCTCTGCTGAAACATGTTTTACATTCTGATGAATCCAAATCCAACTTGCGTCTTGCACTATTAGACCTGGCAGCAGCAACACGTTGATTACCATCCTCTGGCATTTTCTTCTTATTCTTCTTGACTGTATTGGGCGTGGACACCTTGGGCTTCATCACTTTATCTTTGGCCACTTTGAGCCGCTGAACCCCCTTGGTCGACTTCTTCCCCCACCTCCGAGGTGTGGGCTCCACCTTCCTGGAGTAGGAGTATGTGCAGGAGAAGCAGCACCTTCTTCCTGGTGCTGCTGCTGCTCTTGACGTGCAAGATTGCCAGAGGACTCGCCCACCAGTGGAGGCAAGGTGCCGGACTCCTGCGTGCCCACCGGATCACAGTCCACTTGGCCCAAATTCTCCGGCATGGCGGACTGAGAATGTTCCTGGGCAGATTTAGGGCTGGTGTACAGAGCAGTGCAGCAAGAGCCATCTGCGGCGGTTGTGTCGGGCGCCCGCATTGGCTTGCTGACAATGTCGTGTGTCGCCGACGATATCCCTAGCAGACGCCCTGATCTAGAAAAAAAAAATCCATAAGCTTATGGGCAGTGTTATTATTATGCTTAAAAACTAAACAGTAAACAGTTAAACCATCGTGGCCATTTAAGCGGTAAAACAACCTTTTAATAAAAAAGGATATACGGTCAATTAATAAAAGGAGAAAACTAAAGGACCCTAGATGGACTAAATGGTCGATTAATACTAACGGTCCCTAGGCGGACTAAACGGTCGATTAAATGGAAACGACATACTAACAGTACCTAGACGGACTAAACAGTCGAGTAGCTACAGGAATCACACACTTCGCGAGAAAAAAACATGATTTTTCTCCGACTCGGCTAGACAGCTACTCTCCCCGACTCTGTTAGCACAGACACCGCATATTGACCGACAAATACTCAAATTTTATAAGACTTTTAAAGATACATTGCTTTTACTATTTATGTATATCAAAGTACATACATTATTTTTACTACAAATGTATATCTAAGTATATAGCTTATATGTACAAAAGCCAAAACGTGGAGTAATAGATTGCAGCACAAGAACACCAAAACGAGCAATCCAGTGAGCCAACAAGTGCAAGAGCATAAAAAACAACGTTATGATCTAGGAGATAACCGAAAAGTAATAACAGATTACTGGAATCATGGGATCGAACGTATCCTAACAGATCTCATAGTATCTTCAGGATATCTTTCCGGTGTCTTGCGGGGCGCGCTGAGCAGCGCCGTGCTCCGCAAGGCTTCGTTTTATAGGCTAGACCACCCCTGGGGGCGCAGCCCATGTAGTCTGTCGTGGGTATCCGGTGTCGTACCCCCACAGCTAGTCCCCGAGAGTCTTGTAGCCGCTGTGCAACGCCATCTTGAGCTTATCCAAGCAGGTGTAAACAAACCCGAGCAGTCAGACTCATAGTCCGACCACTCTAATGAGTCACCGAGCAGTTGTGGACCGTCGCCAAGCAGAGTATCCCAAGTAAGGCTTGCTAGAAGGATGTAAGGAGCTCAAGTTCAAAATCAAAAATTTCTTCGCAGTGAACCAAGTGTGCCTACTTAGATTCCGACCACGAGAACGAGAGATAATCCTCTTCAACTTCAGGAGGTACGGAGTCTTCCAGATAAAAAACACTCACACCGCAAGGTGCGGTGTGCCCACTTAGTCCCCGAGCCTGACAGTAGGTGATGTGGTCACGTGGTGCCAAGATCCAGAAAGTAGAAGGCAGAAAACCAGCCGAGCAGGCGACCAGTCCATAGGCGGAGCCCTAAAATAAAAAACGCACATTCACCGCAAGGTGAAGTATGGGGGTACGACTCCGGATACCCACGGCAGATCACATGGGCTGCGCCCCCAGGGGCGGCCTAGCCCACAAGATGAAGCCTTACGGGGCACGACGCAACTCGGCGTCTCCCATAAGGCACCGGAAAGATATCCTGAAGATACTATGAGATCTGTTAGGATACGTATGATCCCATAATTCCTGTAATCTATTATTACTTTTTGATTATCTCCTGGGTCTAACCGACTTATAACCATGCCTCCGGACTATATAAGGCGGTCAGGGACCCCCTCCAAACTCACGCAATATCATACGATAGCCAATACAATCCAATAGACCATAGGAGTAGGGTATTACATCATACTGATGGCCTGAACCTGTCTAACTCGTGTGTCTTTATTGCCTTCTTGTTCCCGATTACACGCATCTCTACCGATCAATCTACCTTCGTGGGATACCCCTCGGAGGACTGCCAATGATATTATGTCGATAGTTGGCGCGCCAGGTAGGGGTGTGCGTGCTGTTTTCATGTCGAACAAGATGGTACGTTCTGTAAGCTCTTCGTCCCTCCCACAACCCGACTAGATCTTCATGGGTGGATCGATCTCGTGGATCATCAACGCTGACGGAGTTAGAGAGCTCATTGAGCCGGTGCAGATCAATAGTATGTCGATCACCCCAACACCTACGACTGTAGATCCGATCTCGGAACCACCTCCGAGGTCGTCTTCATCGACAATTCGCCGCCCGCTACCAGAGGAGGCAAATCAATGACGATCTGATCACATCCATCGATCAGGTTGGCGAGCTCGCCGATTGCCTCTCCATCGCGGAATCGGCTCTGACCACTCTGGTTCAGTGCTGACCACCCTCTAGTTCGGATCTATCGAAGGAGACTCCAAGGGTTACGGCCCTACCCTTTGGGCTCACCAATGTCACCGCCACTTATCAAGATGCCCTAAGGGGCAAATTCGTCGACTAGGTTAGAGATGTCCACCCTCTCGTCAACTAGATCGTCGACCAGCTCCCGCCGGCTATCAACATGCTACACGTCGACCGACGCCCCAGAGCATCCCTCCAAACCATCCTGGAGGAGAATCCAGACTTTGAGTCCTAGGGCTCTATGGAGACTATCGCCGAAACCACCACCGAGCAACCTCCCTTCCCTCCCTTCCGTGGAGACGCAATCTTCAATGTCAGCGTTGACAGCCCTCTGCGGGAAGGGGAAACTGAGGAGGACCACGCCACCCACGTCTACAGGAACGTCAATCATGCTCAGCGCCGAGCAAACAAAGCTGCCCTTGTGCTAGCCGAGGCTCAGCTCGACTAGCAAGGAAGGCCACGACAACTCCATTGCAACCTCGACGATGAATTTGTCCGCGTTGACGGCCACAACGTCTACAAGACCCCAAGCGCCAACTTGGTCGTGGCTGCCAACGAGCTCACCCGGCTCCCGCAGACACCGGAGGTCGCCAGGTCACCGCCATGCTTAAAGCGGCACACTGCCAGGTCAATGACATCCGCTAGGATCAGAGACCTTCACACTCCGCGAGCTCGATTCATCGATCAGCTACGCTAAGATCCAATCATCGCCCCGACCAAAGTCGTTTCATCGACCAGCACCGCGACGATGGACAACCCCTCTAGGGGGAAGCTAGGGGCAACCGCATCGAACACCCTCGCCAACACGACTAGGAGGTCGACCAGGACGTCCGAGCGCACCTCAACAATCTCCGAGACGCGCAACGACGTATCGACGAGCGCCGTTTCGGTCGCCATGAAGAAGAAGTACGCCGCCATCAAGAGTACGAGCAAGAGTTCGATGATCCGGACTTAGCCCTCCAGCCACTCAATGTCGGCAACGCCGTAGATCACGATGGTGACAATCCCGAAGGGCCCCCAGCATTCACGAGGGCACTCCGAATACTCCAGTGGCCCCGTGGTTTCAAAATCACTAGGGTCGAGCCCTACGAGGGACGGATGAACTGTGGCAGAACCTCATAAATTATAGGGCCCACATGCATCTGTCACTGTCCAATGACCTTTGACATCCATGCATACGTTCCCGGTAACTTAAGAAAACTATCGGGTGTCCTCGGGGAACCCCGAATCATCCACGATTTCCGAGCAGGATCATATTATAGAGTTATTGCAGTATTACAACAGTTTATTCAAATAGATACACCAGAGTAAAAACAGCGGAAGTCTTACAATAACATAATTTACAAACCATTTGTTTCAAACCATACAACTAAGTTTGAAAAATAATACAAACCAAAGTAGTGGAGTGGCATTATAACATATTACAGAACACACAAATAAGTTGCTCTGCCCAAAAGCCACATATCTACTTCTCGTCATCACAAGGAACAACCGTCATGCAGCACGATCCAAAACAGATCTACTCATGAGCCTCACTTGCAACAAGGGTCAACGAACCCAGAGTACAAAAGTACTCAACAAGACTTAACCGAAATAAGAATTAATAAAACGCAGAAATGTAGGCTCAGGGCTTCAAGGTATGGCCTTAGCAATAATCAAGGTTCTTTTACGTAAAAGCTTTTTAACAAAATTCTTATATCAACATTTAAAACTTCTTAAGATCATATACAAAGCTGACACGATCCGCATTGAGATCATGAAACTTCATAACCAACACATTCACAGACCATCCTCAAATTCCAGTTATTTATTACTACGATGATGAACAATGAGTTGAGTCTCCATAACCGAGGAGCAACGACGATTCGAACCAATTAAAACCCAGGTAGGAATTCCAGACCACACGACATATGCCGGTCCCCGACTTACATATATCAACCTACCCTCGGATCCTCTAAACAAGAACGGGTCCGCGCCACCCAAAAATACAGTCCTCCACCAATCCAGCCCATTGCCACGTGGGTACACGCTATTCCCGCCATCTCTCCACTCCCAGTGCGCAAGTAGCCATTCTTGTAATAGAATAGCCAAGTTAAGGCTTACCGAAGTATGTGGTTAGTACTACAAAGTCTCACCTCATGCAATTCAACAACGGTACGGGCCTTAATCGGCACAGGCGGAAAGAACCCGCTCACAAGACCTCCATGTCTTGCGGCTCCCATACACCGAGTCCGCCCGGTCTAGATTTATTACTCCACATTCCCATATCACATGATAACATAAGTAACCAAAGATCTATTTAAAACTTGCAGATGACAGGTAATCACCCGACTTTCATCGTTCTAAACATAGCAAAGCAAAACAAGACATATACAAATTTAAAACTGGTAATATGGTAGATATGGAAAAATAATGTTGGTAATGTACCAATTAGGTTTGCACTCGACTCCTAATCACTTAATGTAGTAAAGAAAAGCAAAAGCGAAATCAATTTGTAAATCACAAGGTAGGTTTAAATGCATCCGGGGCTTGCCTAGGATCCGACACAATTCAGTTCAGTTAGCTTGCACCGTCTTGGTGACATTTCCGGTCCTAGCACTTGCTTAGTCCTTCCATCTTCGGGATAGATCCACCAAACCCAATCTTCGAGCCTAGCTCCACATCACACCCTTCATGTGGTTCATCTAGCGTATCTAAATGAGATGCAAG